ACTGAAAAAAGGTAGAAAAAGTCAAAGTCACTTGGATAATGTGTCCAGAAAAACACAACATTTCTGGAAGCCACAAGTTGGAGTTGAAGCTATCGGACCAGTGTGAGCACTAGTGATCTCTTTTGGGGCAAAAATCACCCCTGTGCTTTGGGAAGAATACAGATTCACAAGCGCCACATGAGCACTGTTTTTGCTGAGGGCTCAATTCACCTCATTTTCCTTGGTGGTACAATGAAGCAACAGCTCTATCCCAGGTATTCTCCATTTACCTACTGCCACAACCACCCACGTTCTGGGTGTTCTTGCAGAAGAGTCTCTGCTTACAGTCACCAGAAGCTCAAGGCTGATAATGTCACCAGCTTGGAAGCAATGAGACAACCAACTCTGTGGTTCACATTGTTTGAACATTTATTGCAATTCAGTGTCAAAAATGTTTTACAAAAATACATTACTGTCTGCACAGAACAGCTGTAAAAATCAGAGTTGAACATGCAAGGGAAGAAGAAAAAAGTGTGCAAATTTATAATGGAAGGATTTTAACCACACAATAATATTAAACAGAAGTCTTATTATACAAGGGATGCCTTTCACTTCATATCATCTCTAGTTACAACTTTAAGGAAAAACAAAACAGAACACACGCTCTCTTCCATATATAAGTAGGTATTTATAATTACTGTAGATTAGTTCCTAAAGATGAGCATATTTGCTATTTCAAATTAAAATGGTCTCTTGGTAGCAGACCTGTTAGCATTCTGTGCAGCACACGATGGCTAAAGAAATGCGAATTCCACCCTCAGTTGCCTCCCAGGAGGAAAAGCAGCAATGCTTGGTCAATGGAGGGGGAATCTCTCTGGTGTTCGAGGTATTAATATACTAGAGACTGCACGTGTCAAGGACAAGATGGATTTGTTCTCCCTAGGGCCAGAACCTGCAAAGCCGATTTGCTACCAACAAAATCACTGGAGGACGACGTGGGATAGGAATCAGGCACCAGTAAAGACACTCACGCAGCCCGGCAGCTGTGGGGATGGCTGGCCGTGTCTTCAGAGCCTCTAACAAGCATCGTTATAAGCAATGAGCTGAGAAAAGCAGCACAAGCAGAACACCAGAGTCCCAAACCTTGTAACAGGCGAGTCTTTATCAACCTGATCAGCCATCAGCTCCACAGGGTCTACGTTTTTGCAAACAGGCCAGCTAGGAAGAGTGGCATTTTAATTTAAAGCTATGTCTTTTTGGCAAGGTGCTGATCTATGGGGAAGCTGTGCAACAGGTTTGTAAGAACAACCACAGAGGACAACGCTGGTTTGCTGTACCGAGCAGGAGATAAGCATGAAACAGCACATCTGATTTATTAGCTACATAACAGAATTTGAAGTGTTCCTGCTCTAAATCAAATTTTAGCTACTAAGGGCCAAGGAATTTTCTGGGCAGGAAAAGCTGGTTTAGTACCTGCGTATGTTCTAGAAGGTGACAGCTTCACAAGAGTAACTGAAGTCAAACAGAAATGGGAACACAAACAGTTCAAAACCTGGAGGCAAAGGAAAATAATAAAAAAGATATTCCCATATACAGAAAGTGGCAGGGTGCAATTAAATGTTTACATACAAAGCAATGTCTTCAGAGCAATACAAGTTTTCCTAATCACTTTACAAAATAAAAGGATCTAGAAACTCCCACAATTAAAAAAAGAAACCCAAACAATATAAGAGGAGGTGCACACGTTTTTATGATCAATCTTTATCATACCATAGTTAGTATAAATGGCTTAAGGTATGTACAGCTGAAATTGTGCCTCTTGAAGTGGCTACCACATTAAAACAAACTCCAAATACCTGCCCCTTCTAGAAAGCTGAAACAAATATCTCTGGCATCTCTCCCTTCCTAAGCCTCCTCCCCTGCACAGATCTATTTTTCCTCTTCACAGCACCACGTTCTACACTGTTGCACTGGTTAACACATCCTCTGAAGATAATGAGATTTCTCTGGATATGCTGGCAGGAGAAAACCCCAAAGAGAGCAAAACCCCCTCCTTTCCTAGTATAAGAACTGATGCATGTCTAATGGGAACACATCAACTAACTGGAAAGTGAAATGCCGTTATGAAAACAACGTTCTATTTCCAAAATACAAGTAAAAGCCTGTTTTCCCTTCACAACAGCTTTGCCACAATTGTGCTAAAATAAAGAGGTCCTTTTTGCGTGAGAGCAGCCTTACACCATCCTGCCTGGAAGCCCCTGTTATCACTGGCAGTTTTGTTACCCTGCCATCCTCAGCCAAGCAGATGCCTTTGCACTGCTAAAATACTGATCGCTTTGTTTATAAGTGGTTAGACTAAGGTATCTGGATGCAACAGCATTTTGTTTTAAATACAAGAGTATTGAATTCACCATAATATCTCCCTGTACCAGCCACTTGAGAAAGAATGAGTCTCCCAAAGAGATCAAGGTCTTATTTGACAGTTGCTGTAGCAGGAGGGTAATGACTGCAGCAGTAACTGAATGAGGCTTATTCTGTTTCCTTTTGTTTAGTCCGTTTTGTTCTCTGGTACAGTAGTTCCTTGGTTTTCTGCTGCTTTGGACACTGACAGCAATATCGCAGGACCCTGCCCGAGCAACACACAAGTGTCTGTATGTATTAACAAATCATCTTCAGCACTTTGATGCTTTAAGATTTACACAGTGCTAAGAAATAAAAAAAACACTAATTGAAGTAAGTTTTATAAATAGGAGCCTCAGCTGCACATTAAGTATGTTGTCAGCGTGACCCATGCTCTCTGGGCAGAGGACACAGACTACACTCTTTGCTCAAGACCAGTGAAGGGCTGCTAGAGGCAATGGCTAGAGCTGAGACATTCCCGAATCACAGCTGAACGCTGGGATTTTCTGTCTTGCTGTGCAGGGAACACACTAGGCCAGAGTCAAACCTGAGCTTAAAATTCACCAAGTGTCACAGTCTCACAGTGGATAAGTGTCATCTTCTAAGCATGGACTCGGACTAGGCAGAACCCCCCGGCATTTCCTACCGAAATACCATTGCCTCCCCATCACAACAGGCTGGCTCGCTATGGGTGGCAGAGGCAAGACTACGAAACAAACCAACCCCAAGTAAGAGCTGGAAACAGAAGATGCCAAGGGGCACGAGTCCTTTCACTGCTAGGAAAAAGGAACTACAAGAATCTCCAAATACAGCGGCAATGCTTCATTCACTTCACTTGCAGGTTTCTGTCCTTAATGTCCTCGTTCACCAAGCCAGATTTCAGCCTCGTCTACCCGCTGCCATCAATGCGGGAGTGAAAACAGAAACTGGCCTCCCTCCCTCAGAAACATCCCCCCAAACAAGCACAAGTTCATTTTTCCAAGGTAACAGCTTTTAAATCACTTTCAGTTGACACGAATATGACCAGGAGGCTTATGCTTTCCACCAGCCGTCAAACACTGATGGATGGGGCACGAACACCAAGATAAAGCTCGCTATCCTGCACGTGTTGTTTTCTCCTCATCTCTGGAGAGTGCCAAGCTCTGGGCCATGGCTAAGAGTGGCACAGGCTCACAGAGCTCTCTGGAAGAGCAAAAGCTTAGGTTTGCTGTTGGAAGACAGGAGAAGGGCAGTTCTTGTCAGCATTTTCCTGGTTTTCTCCTTCCCAGGCTTCCTCCCCCCTTCCTCACAGCTCCATCCAGAGGCGTTTTTTTTCCCTTTTTTGCGTCTCTTACAAGAGCATGCAAAGTGATTTAGTTTGCAAAAATGCAAATACTGTCAATTTTTTTAAATATAAACAGCTGCAGAAAAGTGTTGAAAGTCAGTTATAAAAATGTAAAAAAAGGAACAGAATATTTAACAATAATTAACTCAAGTAGTTCTTCCTGAATTGTCCTGAGTACTCCTCTTCCTCGCAATTCTTTGTACATAGTCACACACAACCCGCTAAATATTTACCCTTCCGAGGCATCCTGCTTATATCATGCACAGAGAAAGTGCTATACAGGAAATCTACTGGCAAACAGCAAAAACTTTCCACTGCAGGTTTTCAAATTGTTATATGCGAGCCGGATTCTTCTAGCTCCACCGTAGGCAAAAGTGAAGCACTGTATGCAAGAGAGGAGAAGGTGAGCCAGATCACGGCCACAGTGCAGTTAGGAGTTTGGCCACGTACTCCATAGGATGGAAAATTTAGCTCTAGGCTAGTGTTAGAAGATCCCATAAAGAAGGTCAGCACTGGAAGTGGAAGGGACTAGGCTGGGTCTTTGCCACTTCCTTGGCACAGAAAAATAACCAAAAAATGTCAAGTGCCATGTTGGAAAACCCTTGCTTACCCCAGTCCTGACTGCTGTTTTTAGGAAAATGCTGACTGGTTTCTTCACGCTGTCTTGCTCATCATCCTAAACTCCAGTAGTCTGAAATTAAACACGATGCTGCCAGTCTTCCAGTGAATAAAAACCGCATCATTTCACTACGTTCAACAGCCCCGTTCTCCCTACATTTTACCAGCTCCAAGATGATTGAATTCACTTGACAGCAGTGAGAATACAGAGCAGTGTATATGTTGGAAAACTAGGAAAACATGGGCTTGAAGAACCAGATTTTAACCTCATTTGGTATTTCAACCAGTGCAATTAACCTAGTGGAGTTGATACGAATTTACATTGTGAGACTAAATCCAGTCCTGTTTCCCTATAATAGAACTTCCTCCCTTTTAGACAATCGTCATCCTTGTGGCTTCTCTTCCCTTTTGCCTAGTCTTTCATAAAACCAACAAATTAAAAGAGGATGGAGTAAAGTCTTAGGTATTTATATGGTGCCTATCATCTAGGCATTCAAGCACTGAGTAGAGCAAGAAAACTAATGTAAAGAGGTAAGCATTAATACCAGAAAAGATGCTTACTATCACAAACATTTCCCTTTAAATCATTGTACAAAATACAAAAGTTCACATTGTACACTGGATTTTTGTTTGAAAGGTACTCAATCTATCAGAGGTAGAAAGTGGTATGGTGCGATTCTCTTTTGCAAGTAGGCTAGAGTTCTATCCTAAGTATTTCAGAATGTGTCCTTTTTAAAAACATAAAAGTATTATTAAACTTGTCACAGGGATATTTTTCATAAATATTTTTAAAACGTCATATTTATAAATATGTATGCTAAATAAAACCAGATGGAAAAAACAGTTCAACAGTCCTAGCCTCATATTGCTTTCTCTCTATTAGAAACAAACCAAAAGAGTTCTCAAATGGTTGTGGGGCAAATTCATTTTTAACTTCTAAAAACAAAAAATGAAGTTTTTTGCCCTGTATCTTGTACTCTGATCATAGAAAAGGGACTCTGTACAACATGCTGCATTTATATACCAGTCCTACAGAAGTCTGTATTCCTTAAGTGCTGCACATCAGCGAGCAATTTCACCTTTCATCTTCGAGATCCTCTTGTTCCTTGACTCAGGAGCTTCGAACAAACATGAATATTTACACTATTTACAAATGGAGTGTCCAAGCTCAGTGGCATAAAGTGTCCTGTAAGAATCGCGTAAGCTGCGGTGACCCAAGTTCAGAACCTGAACAAGTTGATAAAGTCTTGCGGCGAAAGAGAGGTGGAGCAAGTCTCGGGGTTGTTGGCTGTGCAAGGGTGATCAGTACCCTGGGAAAGGAGAAAACAACTCCATTTAGAGAGACTGCGGAAAGGGTGCCAGAGCATCAGCCAACTTCGCGCTGCCCCTCTGCCAGACGTCCTGCTTGCAAATAGACAGAGCAGAGCCCAGAATAATATTTCTACTCTTGCCAAAGCAGACAGCTCAGAACCGGGTTTCAGATTTTAGGGGCTACTGGCAAGTCGGGGGAAATAAAACCAGCAAAGATCCAGTTCATTCTTTTCTCCTCTTCTGAGGGAAGAGAGGCTGGAGCCTACCATCAGCTACAGGAGCTTAACTCCAGAGCCATGCCTTGGATATCAACACAGTGGCCAGCAGACTTTTGTCCTGGGCTGTTTTGTAGCCATCCGCTCATTCCAGCTAACCCTGCTGCCAAAACCTCCACCCTCCATGTAACGGGTGGCCGGAGCTGCTGGCACTGCTAAGATGATCTACTGCAGGCAGCCCTACAGTATAGCCATCTCCCTCCCCTCTGGCCTCGATGGCCGCTACTCTTGTTCAATGTAGAGAAGATGGGACCTTTGAAGCACAGAGGAGAAAGGGTTTTAATAGTTGAGGGAGTGTTAAGATATAGGAAAACACTAGGTTATGCAGGCAAAGAAACTGCAGCACCCTAAACCAGCTGCAATCAGAGGAAGCACCAAGTGCCCCGTGGCTCATGCCCCAGTTGAGTTTGTCCCCCCAACACCTCATACCTTCCAGGAGAGGATGTGGCAGTGCCTGCACAGCTGCAGCGTGTCCCCATACTGCTCCTTCCGTGGGTAACACCTTATGAGCTTGAAGTACATCTTCTTCCAATCCAGCTGCCCCTTGTCAGATAAGATTAGCCGTTTGCGAATCTGGAAGAAAAAAATTATCAAAATTGTAGCAGGACAAATTAATGTGGGGTTTTTTTTCCTCTTCAACTCATGTTGTTCTCCTCCTCCTTACATAAGTGTCATCCTTGCCGGTCCCATTACAGTTCCCTTGTAACACCAAGAAAACTCCTGCTCTGAATATCCAGCTATAACCAGGTACCATTATCAGGGTCTATCCTCATTTCATGAATATTACTGTATGAAAGCCTGAAATCCTTCCTGGGAGCTATTTTATACTACTTTAGCCACCATTTCTGGCTGGCAGGGCAGTGAGCATAGTTACATTTAACAGTTTCAGAAGTTAAAGTATTTTGCTTTTTCATTGACTCTAAGAGTCACTGATTTGTCACAGTAGCTTGGGAGACACCCATCTTTCTTTTAGGGTTCTTTAGTTGCAGAGACTGGATTTGAATTTACTTGTTAATAGAAATAACTTCCCCAGCGTCACTTCCAAAGTCAGATCCAGAGCAAGCAAATAAAGCCAAGTCAGCAGAGAATCTGGCACGTGGTCCCTGAAGTGCAGAGGTCTGGTATAAACACACCAGACATTCACCCAAAAACAGAGAGAGGTATTTTTGTTTGGTTCTTTTTAAGTTTAGAAGACCCCAGATGATTACCAGCCTGCAAAAGGCCAAAGATGTTTACACAGGTACAACGTGGGTAGCGGCAGGGCTGTTTTCCACATACCGCCCTGTCACTCATGAAACAGCTCAGAGGGGATTTCTTGCTCTAAAAGGCAAGAGAGCATGACTCATTGCTCATGGACCACATCCACAAAGATTCTCTGCGAGGGTGTCAGTCCCTGGGACATCGGGGCGATTGCTGGAGCTTGCCTGCACGTTTTCCCCGCACACGTGGGGAGAGGGAGCAACTGCATGACTTGCAGTTGTTACCACCTGGATTAGGGTTGAAGAAGTTCACCGTATGACTAATTCCTCAGGCTCCTATTTCAGGAATCACTGCTGTGACATGCAAAACCCTCTACATAAGTCATTTTCACAGCCATTCTCATGTCAGCCTGTATTATCACCTTGCGGCACAGCCCTTAGATCCAAGAGTTAGTCAAGCAAGAGCGTCCTACCCATGTGTGTTCATTTGCTAGTGGGTTACAACAAGCAACTGATAGCAGTTTGCATCCCTCCTTGTACCTGTCTGTCCGTAAAGTGATACTGGCAGAGTTTCTTCCACAGCAGCCGGTCTTCGCTGAGCACTTGCAGGTCGGGAGCCACCTGACCGAGGCTAACCAGGTCTCTCCCGTCACTCAGTCGCTGCATGATGTTCAATTGTAAACACAACGGCAGGTCTGTGAAAGTGGTACCTTTAAAGGCAGGCTGGAAGAGACAAACAAAATTGAGCTTACAGGAAGCTGAAAACCCAAGCAATTCAGGCTTGCAGTAGAGTTACTGCTTTTTAAGCATTGCTCTTCACATAGAGAATATGCAGCAGTTCCCTCTTCTCAATAAGGAGACATTTACATAGAGACATTTGACCTTCTGCCCCAGAACAGTTTGATATCCCCTCAAGGAAGGGGAGATGTATTTGCATTACAGTAGTTAGAAGCAGAGTTGCAGTCCAAGCCTCCTCCTCCCCTTCTCGTCCATCCCACATCCATACTCATGAGACTACGCTCCCAGAAGCACCACCACCAGCTTCCACTACAGCAGGACACTGGCTACGTCATGGTATCAGCTATTAACCGTCCAGGTCTCTCCACCACGAGGGACGTTAGCATTACTTCTCAAGCTCAGCCTCCTGTTGCACACATAGCTGGGAATCTCATGCTCTTCTGACGTGTTTTAGCTCATGTCATCACAGGATCCTGCTGTAACCACAGCAGCGGCTGACGAGTACCCACAGCAGGATTCTCCCTGCAGGGCTTCCCAGGTTACTGCTGGCAGGGCTAGTGTTTCCTCTGTGAACGTCTGAAGGACCTGCCCTTTTCCCATCAGCTCTGGCCATGGTTTTCCAGGCTGTTCAGCCACACCAAAGCACATCCTAGCCTAAAGAGCCAAAAGCCACCTTCACCCGCCATACGCCTTCGCCTGGTCTACATGGGGTCCAGGACCGTTCTGCAAGTCCACATAGCAGCACAGCTCCAGGCCAAGCTGACCACAATGAATCAGCAGGTCCTGTGCTCAGGGGAAATCCAAAGCACACAGGGGAGCAAGGCATCAGCAAGGACCACAAACCGGGCTCCGGCTGCTCCAAAACCAGCCCCAGCCTTATTAAGGCAAACAGCAGCTTTTAGGATTGGGCCCCAACAAAGAAACAATGTTAGACAGATGTGCCAAGTTTATCATTTACCCTGCACAGAGATGCTGCTATTTTAAGTCGCAGAGTCACAGCACCCCTCTCGCAATTGGCAGGGTTATTAACCGTTTCAAACAAGAAGCACGCGGACCGCCATCAGCAGGGGAACACCGCGTGAGGCTGCTTTTAATCACACAGTCCCATCTCCAGCCACCCCATTGCATGTGAAACTCCACAGGCACAAGTATATCTATACGCAAACAGCTCCTGCCTTCCCTTCGGTGCCCCAGTGACCAGCCTGCCCGGACCATGCAGCACTGCCTGGTACCTGCAAGGACCACAGCTTTCCAACCAAGGCATCATTTTTGGCCATCTCCACCAGCAAGACCGGCCTCAAACAGCCCCTCCAGGAGTGAGCTGTCTCTGCCATCCTCGGGGGGTCTTTCTTCCCATGACAGCTTTAACACTGCGTGCTGAGAGTTACGCTGCAAGCACACTGCCTGGTTACATGTAGATGCTTCCTCGGTACAATCCACAAGTCCAGACTCAGTGTCCCTGCCCGTCAGTGCAAACTGAGGTCATATTTTGGGGTAGGAAGAATGCATCAGAGCCTTGGATCACCTCCCATTGATCTCCCTTGCCTGCCTGTCTTTTGCACTCTCTCTACGTACAAGCTTTGCTAGGGCACAACAGGCAGGACTAAGGTCTTGGGTCAAAAAACCCCAAAGCTTATGCTTATGTCTTATTTCTGAAGAAACCAGTGTGACTCAAGCAAATCCTTACAGGTTTTCTGAGTCAGGGCCAAGGACTTATCTGCTACTTCTTTTCCCTCAGTACTCCTTTCCAGGACTTTTCAAACATTACTTTTTTTAGAGAAAAAAAACACCGATTAGATCACAGCAGATCAGTATGCTGTCACTTTCGGGACCGAGGGTTTTTTTTTAAAGCAGCTCTAGCACACACTCCATATTTTACAAGGTTTTGGTTTTTTTTGGTTTTTTTTTTTTTTTTTTTTTTAAAGTTTAGGTCTTTGCTGTTGCAAGACATCCCCCCGCCCCGAAACACCAGAAGCACTCAGTGCCCTGTAAGCAACTGGCTGCACAGAGCTGAGCTTGTTCTTCCTTCCTCTAAACTCAGCTGGTTTTGTTCTAGCTTGACCTGAAGTCATCTTCAGTGGTGTGAAATTTTTTTTTTTGCAAGCTTGAAATCTATTTTATTTATTTTAGAAGAGTGTCTGTAAACCTGTGCGTAAGTAAGTATACATAAAAGGCAGTTCTGTTCACCAGCAATATTTTGAGATGCTTTTGTCTGGATAGGCAGAGTTCTTTGAAATGCTTATCTGGGTTTTATGAATGCCTAAAGCATAGGGAATAAAAGACATCGTACTACTGAGTTGAGCACCAGGAGGTAGGTCCTGGCCTGTGGTGCCCTCAGGGCGGCAGAGGCGTGGGTGAAGCTGGCCCTGGCAGCGCCCAGGCACAGGGCAGCTCCCCAGCACAGCCCTGCTGTGCCCCAGCAGCCACCCTACCGTAGGGCCAGTGCTTCCCCTGCAGGGCAAAGGGAGCTGCAGCCCATCCCAAGAGCTGGACACCAGGAGAGGTGGGACAGAGACCACCATCAGATAAGGCACTGCTGCTTTTGCAGCTCTTCAAACTCCCTGGGACCTCCCAGAGTTCATCTTCTCCTGTGTCCTGCTGCCTGCATTACTCTGAAGGGCTGGAAATTGTTTCCTGGGTTCCCAGAGAACAGAGCCATGTAAAATGATGAAAGCGGGCACTTTGCTTAATCCTTTGCAAATGCCTCTCTGGTTGACCCACCAGGTAAAAAGGTGCTTTTCATATGCCCTTAGACCATGCCATGGTCTGCCCAAGTGGGAATTTCACAGTCCAGTTCACTGCAGGAGAGCCCTACAAGGAGCACACCAACACAGAGGTCAGCACTCGGGGAAAGCTTTCGCATTTCTGTGGAGCAAGTATCCATTCGAGGTGGAAAAAAGCCTAGACGTGGTTCTGGGCAACTGGTTGTAGGTGTCCCTGCTTGAGCAGGGGGCTTGGACCAGATGATCTCCAGAGGCCCCTTCCAGCCTCAACCCTTCTGTGATTCTGTGAAGCGGAGCAAGTTCAGATTTGATTCCCATGCAAAGCCAGATTAGGAATTTATCAACTAATACATCTTCCCCATCCCCACAGATGCTGTTGAAAACACAGATGGTGTAAAAGCAGGACTCGTCCGGCTGGAACAGGCAGCTCCAGACTACTGGAAGAATCATTGATATTTTCAGCCAGGAAGCATGAAGTTATGCAGCTATTTGGAAATTTGCATTTAATTTACAGATTAAGCAAATCTAAAAACCTCAACTATCTGATAAACAAGTTTTGAAGGCCATTTCTCAGTTTGAGAAAGACCAACTTGACTTTTCATACTGAGGCCTAATCTCTGATGACTCTCAAGAGGGGGAGATGGTTTCCTGCCCAGCTCTGTTTGCACAGCACTTCACGGCCATTACGGAGTCAAGCCACAGTCTGTGACCAGTAAAAGCGAGCATGATCCTGTGTTGTGTACGTTGAGTCTGAGTTAAGGGACACATGCAATGCCAGGAATGCATCCACTTATTTTGGCAACTCCAGGACCTTCCCCAGCGCTGTGCTTGCACTGGGAGTACAGTGGGATGCAGTCACCCAAACGAGAGCTGCTACATGAGAAGGTTTCACAAAGGAGCCACATTTTTAGCTTTCAGGATTTGTGCTTACCCTGGTGATCTGAATGTTGTTCAGTTGCTGCTGCCAGTGGAGAATGCTCTCCATCCTGTGCACCCACATGTTGATGTTTCCAACCAGGACAGACTTGCCGACCCGTTGAACTAACGTGCAGAGGGATGTGTAGAGGGTCTGCAGCAATTCCCGTATTAGCCTAATGTTCTGCTGATCTTCAAGGACTTTGGAGGAACAGGAAAGGTTAAAAATGGGAACTGCCCAAATCCTTTTCTGAATCTACTTGTTTCTCAGGCAAGTCATCTGCTATTACCTCACAGGCCAAAGAGAGCCAGCCTGTACTTTTCATTTTAAACATTAGCCAGACACAGCAGGTTAGACAGCAGATGGAAAGAGATCCTCCCAGGATAAGCAGATGAGGTATCTGCCCTTTCTGCAGCACTTCCCATTTCCAGCCGCTGGCAGCTGGCCAGCTTTCCCCTCCAATATGTGCGAGAGGTTATCTATGTGCACCTCTTTCCCATCTACCCCAGCTGATGGGCAGGGAGACAGCTCAGGATCCCCTTTCTCATTCTGCATACATACACTAACAGGGCACTCAATTCCCAGGCTTCAGCCAGAGCTAAAGCATCAGGGAGGGAAGCTGCACATCTCAACTGCGATTCAGCCCCCCAGCAGGTGAAGACAGCCCTCGAGCTTTCCTTCCCTCCGGAGCAGTGGGAGCACTGATGATACAGCAAACTGGCAATAAGGCGGCAGCAGAGACTGCAGATGTGCCAGGCTGGGGGCAGGAGCAGCTATCTCTTCTGCAGTCAAAAATAGGACTCAGTAGGATGCAGAAGGGGTGGTAGCGAGGAAAGTTGGAGAAGGAGGAATCGCCTCTCAGATACCTACCAAAATACAGACATTTCTTCCCACTTCTCCCTCCCTCCCCCCCCCCCCCCCCTTCACCCCGGGAAAGCGGGACTGCTCCCCCCCCAATCCTTCACCAAGGGAAAGTGGAACTGCACTACAGAAATAAGCAGTGGTGCCCCTCTTCACCCGTCTCGCGTTGCCTGATTATTCTCGAGGATGTGGTTCACACAGAGTACAGCACATCAAATCAGAATCCTCCCCCTCACTGTTTCCGTTTCTTACCTTTCTGCACCACTTTTTCCAAGATGTTCATGTAGTTTTTCTGGGCAATGCCACTCAGTGATGTCAGCTGAGACTTTGCTATCAGCTCCAACAGCTGTGGATAAAAATAGAAGTTGCAAGCCTTAGAGCGCAGAGATACCTTTCTAATCTTGACTCCTGGTCACATGACACAGCAAAACAGCCCAGAGACTTGTTTGCTGCTTGAAAATAAAAGGGAGACAGAGCGACCGAGCAAACTAATGCAAAGGAGGAGGAGAGCGGAGGCCAAATAATTAAACCCACATTGAAAGGGGTGGGGGGTGGGGAAAAAAAAAAAGGCATTCTAATGATCTTCGGGGGAAAAAAGAAAAATAATCTTGATTTCATGGTTCAGAGACGCATAGAAACCACAGAGCAGCGCTCAGACTGACAGCCTCTATTCACGCCGAGGGAACAACGAAGAGCCGACGTCACCATCCTTCGCTGGGGCATAAACAAGCAGTGTCATTAGGGAACACGAGGAAATGCCTGTTTGGATGGGGATATTATTGATGGGGCACTAATGAGAATCAGACTCCACAATTTACGTCAAACTCCTGGGTTGCATGGGTTTTGTCAGAGTGCTGTCACCACGACAGAAAGGTTAAGCACTGTATTAAAAACAAGCCCTCCCCCCCAAACAAAAACCCCTATTCCCCCAAGGTTTCCTCCTCTCTGTTCAGCTCTTACAGCTGCAACGCCGAATCACCTTTCTCTGTTTGTCCTGTTTACTTGCTAACCTCCCCTAATGGAAATCTCACTTTTACTTTCAATTAGGATTTGCTTCCCATCACTGATCTCCTGACTTGTGTACAAGCCGGACGCTGAATTCGGGCTGCAGTTGCTAAAAGAAGCGTTTCCCACGGGGAAGAAGATGCCCTCTCCTCCCCAGCTCTCTACCACCACAAGAATAGCTGTGGAAGTTTCCTATGGATCGTGCTCTGCAGAACATGTGGCCTGTGATCTTCCAAGCCTTCCTCCCTTCCCCCAGCATTATATAAATACACAGACTGTCCACGTGTCAGTCCATTTGTTTTGGATGTACATAGCCTTCTGTTTTAATTTAGAAAGGAAAGGAAAAACCTTTTATGCTACAAATCAATCAACACATTACCGCATGACTAGCTTATTAATCCTTTATCATCTGCGGCTACGGTATCCCATTGCTGGCACCGCAGAGAGCCCAGAGAAGGTGCAACTACTTGTGTGAAGTAACTAAGATGGCTTTTGACAAGACTTGATAAGTCATGAGCTGAACTGTTTGCCCCGCTATAAGAATGACAGGAATGTATCCAAAAAGTCACCGGCAGCTTGCCACGAAGCGGGGGGCTCAGGGAGAGGTATTACTGGAGCCATTCACCGGCTCTGCTCGTCTCGGGCGCCGGCATGTGACTGCCAGTGTGGAGCAGTGAAGTCGCCTAGAGTGACCGATCTCTTCTTCCGTTTAATTTCCAGGCCAACACCATCGTCAGATGGCTTTGAGTTTATATTCTATTAATATCTTGCACCTCGCATGACCGAAAGAAAACAAGATGAAAAAAGACCTGTGCTAACTCCTGTGAAGGGCAGGCTGCCTGTTTTCTTGGCTCATTTGGGGGAAACAAGAGATGCAGGAGCGTTGGGTAGTATTTGGTGCACAGGCATCAGTGGATCTTCTTGCTGTATCAGCTAAACTGAGACCACAAGGACTAGATACTCTTAAAAACAAAGCAGTTTGCAAGATGCTTGGAAAGTTTTAAAAAAGATCTTTTCTTAATTTCATTAAATACTAGAGGAAGAAGAAAAAAGAAAAAAATCAGTGTCCCAAAGTAGTATGTAATACTCTGCTTACACTATTTAGCCTTCAGACCTTTGATTAGAGCGATCAACTTGCCAGACTCCATCTGTACATGAGCCACACATGCACCCAGATCAGCTCTTCTGTGCATAAACAACTGCTGTCTCCAGATTGCCCCATTCTGGGACTGGCACAGAGACAGCTTCCTCCAGGCTGGGTGTTAGCAATGTTGTGCCCGTTACTGAAAACACCAAAATGTACCCAGTGATAAGCACCATGTAATGCAACACCGTAAGAGCCAGACACCAGGGCCGTTCTTTAAGAGGAGCAAGGGAACTTCTCAGTTCCCTGAAGAGTGCTAAATTGGTAGAAAATTAATTTAGCCAAAGGAACAGATTCAAATTTGCCTTGTCTGTGTTTATCAAGGTTCAATTTATGTTCAGTGATCCAGCTCAGATACCATGTGTCACCTCTCTTCCCCTGCAGCAATAAACACAGGATGAAATTCCATATGAAAACTATGTTGTGAATACTTCTAGAACTACTCCACTCCCTGGGGACTGCTGGCTGAAGCGACTGGCTAGCCCTCTAAATCAAGACTTTTTTAGTTCTTCTATGCCCATATAATACACAAAAACCAGGTAAGCAATACAGTTCATCCATGCCCCAGATGCTTCAGTGCACTGAGGGTCTTTTAATGTCGGCACAGACCCAGCAGAGTAGGGTCTCAGTTAATGGACTGCCAATCCATAATTGGGGTCTACAGCATTATAACAAAATAAATCAATGTTGCCACTTGCATAATACGGACTAAAAGCAGACTGATGAATTCAGGTTAATGCTGAGTAGGGTAAAAAGGCTGGAGAGCTGCAAGCATGTGTTATGATGCGGTTGCATTAAGTCCAGCCCACGCTCAACTGAGAGGGACAGATGGTAGGAGAGAGTGCACAGGGAAAGGTTAAGAGCAATTTTAAAAGGCCTGCTTTTCAAAAACACTAAGTGATTGCATTCTAGCCGATTTTAACTGGAGCTGGGAAGTCTGCATCACCTGTGGAAAACAGGGCATTAGATCCCAACTCACTCTTTAACTCCTCAGAAGATGAATAAGGTGACCTGGTAGCTTCCCCAGAAAACCCTTCTTACTGCCTTGCCCCTATTTTGTTTGCTCTCAAGGATCTACAAGAGCCACAGAGAAAAGACAAGAGATGCAGTAGGCTATTCCAGAGCCTCTGTAAAGCTGGCAGGAGGCAGCATCTTCTGCAGCAGGGCAGCCACCTGCTCGCTTCCCCAGGAGTGTGATGGGGCTCCTGCTCAAACCTCACTAGCAGTCGGTGCAATGAGCCACTCGGCTCCGGGAGCAGAGCAGCTCCTCCTCCCATAAGCACAAGGGAAAAAGCAGCAAACACAACAGTGCCATGCGGCAGGGAACAAGGGCCCCTGTTTCAGGGCCATGAAAGCACGCTGCCCTGCACCCGTGACTGCTGCGCACAGCATCGCTTAGACCTGCTACAGCCGGATGCCACTTCTGCCACTGTCTCGGTTCAACACCAGGACGTGCGGGCAACCCGTACCCCAAATAACCCACATCTAGGGGCTTACAGCACACAGAGCCAAAAAATCCTCAGCAGGCCTGCTGCACCAAGCAGGAGGGTGTAACCTCGCTTCAAAAGGGGAAATGTAATGATTAAAATCACAAGTCTCAAACTACTGAAGTGTAAATCCCACTTTGAGTAGCCCAAACCAGCTACAGGGAAGGGGGACTGCACCCTGTGGGGATCCATAAGCTCCTCCTGGTTGGGGATGTAGCTCCTCCCATCTGGACTGCTTAGAGAAAGGTATTCCAATGAAAAATTCCTCCTCCAGCCCCCCCCTTGCTCTCACAGCCCTTCACTTTCTGTGCCTGAAATGTCACGTTGGCTTTCGGCTGGGAGGGCAAGAGCAAGGCGAGTTATAATGATTTACAGCGCAGGTGCTGACAGATCTCCACGAGGCAGCATCGAGCTGATATTCTTTCAGCACAGCATAAATCCAGGACTCCCAGAGCTAACTGCTATAAAAACTTAAGAAACAAATTTAAGAGACTACTTTAGCAGGCTGCACACTATCTACATCATGTTATTCCAGAAGAGCTGTGCCCGTGCAGCTTAACCTGACCTAAGCTTTTATGATCAGAAACAGCACCTTCCCTTGAGATGTTACTACACAACCATCATATGACAAATCTTTCTGAAGGATGCAGCCTGCAAAACCTCACTGTCATCTGAACAGAGTGTTCCCAAAGGAGAACCAACAACTTCGGGGCTGCAGGCACTTTTGTCTCTGCTCACATTACTTATGCTTACAGAACACTTCCAGTCTTTTCATTAAATCTCTAAGACCAGAGGAACCACGACTGCTTCAAGACCAAGAACAGTTTGGGTCCTCTAGGTCAATCACACACTTCCTTACTAGCTCTAAAAAGGGAACATGTAGGCAGATGCTATAGTTTAAAAGATTAGCAAGGACCAAGTCATGGCACCAATACCTACACTTAGCACTTGCAGCACTATATCAGCAGATTGCCAAGAGACGATTGATGTGGGGAGGAAAATTTCTTCCGCTTCAGTTACGTGAACTCACTGGCTACAGCCGATGGTATTTGCCCATGAAAAATACCTGCCAAGCTTCTCGCGGCTCACACCTCCACCTCACTTGAAGGAGGTGCCCATTTTAACAGTGCACCATTAGGAACTCCAAGAACTTAGTTTAGGTATATCTTAAGAAGCAGGCACTTCTGTATGACAAAATAATCAGCACTGAAAACACTCTACCACTTGAGTTTAGAGAAATTCAGAAAGGAATGCTTTGAGAAAGGCAAGTTGATGTTCAGCCTGGAAGCGTACTTTGCTATCAGCAATGATGTAGCTTATTTCTCTATAGGGCAAGTTTGGGTTTTGCTAGCAGAATCCCAAGCCTGCAGCTGTTCCTCTCCCTTCTTCCCCTACGGACATCCTCATATTCTCCCCTAGCCTTTGACTCTAAACTTCCCTCTTTGGAAAGCATTTGTTTGATGAACTAAGTAGTGTGACATTGATCAGATGCCCTGAGCAATGGGTGGAACTAGAGAGAACAAGGAGAGGGAGAGGAGGGAAAAGTGTTTTGCCTGCCAATGTTCAAGGCATTTTCCATGTGACAGATTGCTCATCTTGTGTGCTCTAGGAGGCCTGCGATTTGCAAAGGACCATAAACAAGATCCACATCTAGGCAGATCTTTTCATGAGTAAATCTGGCACATAAGGCATTTTATGAGCTACTATCCACCAGAGACTTGGCCGATACAAGCCTTTCATTTTAAGGAGTCAGTTTTATATTTGATCCATGGTACCAGGTTTAATATCTTCTTTAATCTGCCAAACCACAAGTCAGCCTCAATTAGAAAGCTTCATACTTCTCAGTAGTGCTGTATCCTTAAAACTACTGGGGGGAAAACTACTTTTAAAAGCTCAGAAGAGAGGTAATTTGTAGAAACAAGGACATATGCTGACTTCCATATAGAACACTGCTATTTTGGATACACAGCAGATTTGGGATGCATGGGATAAAGGGGGAAGAAGGTCAGCCTGAGCCTCCCCACCAGACCACACCGACTTCACTGAAATTTGAGTGTGCTCCTCAAAAAATTTAATGGGACTTCTGCTCAATCATTGCAGTCCCATGTGAGACACCCATCACATCGGGCTGAGCAGCAGAAGCCCATCATGTGGCACAGCGCGACCTGAGGCCATGCTTAGCAGAAGCCTTTGGAGTTCTTCCTTGTTGTAAGACAGTCTGCCAAAGGAATCTCTGGAGTACCAAATACAAGTTTTATTTTATTTTCCTCCTTTATATTTGACTAAAGGGTTATAGCCTTGGCATGAACTGTTCCTTCCACAATGATCCCCCTAAAGATGACATGGCTGTGTGTATATATATCCAGCATCAGAAAACAGAGTACCCCAGTGCTGGTGATCATCTTCTCCGTACAAGGAGGAAAACAAGTTGTCCCAGGACCAGAAGAGCTAGGACTGCCTGAGTTTCCATGGACTTGTATCCCGCTTTGCCTCCCCCAGCATCCCCGCTCCCTGCCACCACCCCTGCAGCAGGACACCCAAGTGACTGGCAGTGCCCTTCCTGCACAGCTGGTGGGTGATCACCCCCAATGCCTGTACCCATCCCAGGGTGACAGAGGTTTTCACAGGCTCCTTGTCGCCTAGCAACAGGTGAACAAACCAAGGTGAACTTGCTCAGATCATTCCTTCCTTAGACTCTTTTCATGACACATGACTCTGCAAAGGGAAAGCAATACCAATGCTGCTTGCTCCAGAACCTAAAACCTGAACAGCTGGTGCCTCACCAGTGATCAACTGCTGATGAGATGTGAAAAGGAGCTGTTTATAAACAGCCTCAAGTTAATAACAGATTTTAAGCTTATTGAATTCCAAACCTTGATAAGCACTCTGAAATTTGAGATCAATTGGCAGATCACATGTGCATAAACATACAGCCCTCAGGACAGTAGCCCCTGCCCCCCCGACCACTACCACCCCTCTTGGTGACCCAGAGCAAAAAGAGAAGCCCTAATCTGTCACGGAAAGCCAGAGCATAGGGAACCTGGGGCTGAGGACTCCTTCCTACCAACTCAGGGTGTCAGGAATAACCAAATGCTTTGCCCACTGAAACTGCTGCCAGTCACCCAGGATTAAGAGCAACCATGATCCTTAACCAGAAGTGAAGATCAGTGCCTCCAAGAGGTTCAGCCCATTCTCTCATTCCCAAAACACTCAGCTCCCCAGAGTGTCTCCTGTATCACTTTAAAGGAGACAGAGCTCCACAGCCCGCATGGAGCTGGAGCCTCCTGCGCAAAGAGGTCCTCGCTGCTCTATGGCCTCTGCAGAGAGCCCATGCTCCTTTCGGGGCTACAGGAATTGCATTTAGAAGCTGAACTGAGAAGTGAGTAGATGCTAAGTTTTCTGGGTTTCAGAATTGAATTTCACAACTGAAAAGTAGTAGGAATACTAGGCTAAGGACAGTTCATCTTCTACACTACCACCACCTCCCTCCCTTTCCATTCTTACAGATCGAAGAGGTGGTTTTGGGCATCTATCCACACAACTTCCACCAGTTACTTCATGCAGCAAAGCCCAACACCCCCACTTGCATGCTGGGCCTCTCTTCTTTGCCAGTGCTTCCTATTGCCCAACTGCTGCTCAGTTCAGAGCCTCCACCCCCATCGCAGCAAAATAAACCCTGGCCTTTCACTCACCCTCACGACATAGTTGAATCGCCTGGAGTCCAGGATAGCGCTGGAGAAGTCAAGTCGGTTGAAGGCTTCTCCCAAGGTGCAGTAACCATGGCGCTGAGAAGAAAAAACAGTCTGGGTCATGTTTTGGCAGACATGAGTACAGACAGCACTAGGAAGACGTGACCCAGGGCAACTCAATTTAGCAAGCTAATGGGTACAAACCATGGGACCAGCTCACCGCCAGAGGAGGCAGGCCTGTCTCCCGTGGAGCCGCACTTATTGACGTCAAGAGTGGGCATAGCCCAATGTAGATTATGGTAGTTTCCCAAGAGTGATCCAAGCTCTGCTCATGACCCATGGATTTGTGGGTGAGAGTGAGCCACACATTCCCGGGTTTCAATATATAGTGCAAGTTCAGAGCGGTCTCATATGGGCCGCTTCTCTCCATGAGCACTAGCGAGCTGTTGTGATGAATTCCAATGATTTTCCATGTTAGGACTGTACTGGGTGAAAGCCAAGAACAGTATTATGGCTTGGTCTGCAAATGGCTGGTTTTTTTTTTTAGCTGAGAGAAGCAAACAAGTCATATTTTAAACACATGTACGGAGCCTTGTACAGCAAGCCCTGACTCCCTAGTTGGGGCTTAAAATCATTACTGAAATTCCAACCACAAGCCAGATCTTCCACTTATCTCTTAAGAGCTTCTGCTGATTTATATCAGCACAGGATCTTCTACCATTTGGAAAAAACAGTAGAAAAGGGAACAAAGCAGCTATGGGAAGCACTCACCTCTTTTGTGCTCCCCTTGTGAACATAGATCCACTTCTCCTGGTGGAAATCTGTTTGGACAAAGACATTTTGCTCAGTTAATCTTCTGCCTCGCAGAGGGCTGGATCTCTATTCTGCTCACAACATTTACTGCCCTTCTAATGCAAATGAAATTATTTTGTGTTTACATCACCACACTTGAAACCAAAACTAGCAACTTGCTGAGCTGCTTTGTTTCCATATTGCTTCATTTGAGACTGCAGCCCTGAGCCTTAGAAAGGGCTTCTGTTTCAGTGACACAGCTCAAGACTGTAAATGTTTAATCTGCCAGCCACAGATACACCATAGCACCTCCTCTTCTTTGGTCCCAGACAGTAAGTGTGGCTGACAGCCAAGGTTTTGTTGTTACTGATTTTATTAACTATTCATTACCTTGGTTACATGCTTGGGATTGAATGTCAAATTTGAAGTTGAGCAAAAATGTCATGAGACACCAGGCATGTGGGAGAGACCTTTTAGCAGTGAGGTCAGGCTCAGAGGAGCATGCTTGTGCTTGCAGCTAACTTGCTAAAAAAGAAAAACCTATTTGGGACCAAAATTTTCCTATTTCTAATTGCCCCTCCCTTCCCTCAGAAATGGGAGTTGTCCCAGCCACTCCCCAAAATAACTTCTCTGTACCCACCACGTGTTGCTAACTCAGTCTGCAGAAGAGCCCTTACTGTAACAGCAGTTATGCTGCTTGATCCTTCTCCCACCCGACTCTCACATGGGCTTCTGACGCTTCTTCCACCACACATGGCAATTCAACAGCTAGTATAAGACAAATTCTTCTCCCCATCCGGCTAGACTCCTTTCCCTGAAGGAAATATTGTCTTCCTGGAGTCTTTTTCCACTTAAGGATGCAGCGATGTACTCCTGCCGGGTACTGTGAGCCCAGGGACAACCCCAGTCTTAGTTACAGGCATGCAGGCCCTGCATCAGGCCCTTTTTTGCTGTGGGTCACAGCAGAATCCATCCCAAAACTGTCATGGTAACATTTGTTTGTTCAGAGAACCAAATGCACAGAGGGGCCAGATTTTGGCATCAGTTTCAGAAATCCTGGGGGATGCACAATGAGCTAATAGTAGTGTGGGAACTGTAACTCATTTCCTCCATGTATGTTTACATTTGTAGCCTTCACATCTAACTCCAGTACCTATCTTGCAATCAGACCCACGCAGACCTTGCTGTCCCTGCAGGCTCCCCAGAGTCCTCCCACAGTTGCCATCTGAGACCCCGGCTGCTCACTGCGCATACAGAATGATTTCAAACCTTCCATTGTTTTGAGCGAGCTAAAAATCTTATTTCATTTTCCATGCACTCTGCACACAGAGATAGGATCAAAGCTCACATTCAGGCTTGTAGCCTCCAGTAATGTAGATTAGTACTCAACATGCATATGGAAGGAAGAATAAATTTAGCCTGTTGTGCAGAGGGAAGTCTAGAGGGGGGAAAAACTGGAACTGGTTCATTTGAATGTACCATAGGAAAAAATTACCCTCCTTCTGACAAACAAATGACAAAAATTTGAACACAACAAGCACAACTCCTCAGAGCAGGGATTACTAACAGGGGCATAAATCTTCACATTAAACTGCATCCAAGTTCTCTACTTAGGTCAAACATGGGCACAAAGCCCTTTGAGACACTCTGGAAGAGTATCCTCATGCACCATGCAAGAACCATAGATATGAAGTGTTTTCCATTCTCCTGCAGAAACTTTTATTTAAAAAAGCCCAAATAGACATCTTACATTGAATCTTGGCTTTGTTATTCAGCAGGTCTTTTCTTCTCTTCTTGGCAGCCACATCGTAGTTCAGACTGTTGAAGAGATTCTCTTTGTTGTGATCATCCTTTTTACAAAAGCTGTGAATGACACAAAGCAAGGATTCTGTTTATTTCTGCAGTCTGCTGAACACTGTTTCCTGCAAGGAGAGAAAATACACAGGTTTTCATAGTGAGCTCCAAAGCTGCCTCCTTGCAGGCTGCTCTCCAGAAGTCTGCATACAGGTTTTGCATCCAGTAATACTATTTTTAAATGAGCCTCTGGTGCCTCATTTCTGTGCTAGGCAAGGTAACAGACAGGAGCAGGTAATACAGATTGCACAGTTAGTGCTGGGACACTGCTGGGCAGTATTCTTTTCCTCCTTTTAACCTGTTCCCATCTTTGAGTAACACCATGTCCTTCTACTGTAGGCAGTAGATTCCTCCAAGACAGTCAAGACTTCTACAGAAGGACATATTCAAACATCTCTGAGGACATATGTATACGCACTCAAAATATTTATTAACAAAAGAGTCTCCAGAAAACATTTTTTCAAGCTTACAGGAAAAGCTCAGCTGAGGTTCAGACTTGGCTGGTGGTTTTCCAAACCCCACATAGCAGCGATTGTACAAATTAGCAGCTAGGATCTCTTGTCCAAGACTGCTCATCTTCTGCATTTGCCAGAGCTCTGCTGTAACTATATCATTAATGAAGGGAGCTATAACCCCTTATTTTAAGGTCAACAAAAGACTATCTATAAAGAGTCTGTGCATCTCTACGTTCTGCAGACCTGCAAATCAGCAGATCCAAGCAGCAACATGAAACCAAGAAGCCCCTGGGCAGCCACAGTGCTGCAGCACAGACCCCTGGGGGCAGCAGGGGAAGGCAGCACCCACTAGGAGCTCTCAGCAGAGGCCCTCCTGCACACTGCATGCTGCCCAGAGCTGTGGGGATGCCTCACAGGTGCTGGGGAGAAGACAGGCAACGCATCTAGGAGAAGCGGAGGCACCCCCGCTGCTCTAGCAGCTGGCAAGGGATGGGAGATGGCTATCTGCAGGTCTAAATGCAAAGAAGGGACCCAGGCACCTCGCTGCAGCTCAGGTGCTGTGGCAGCGCTGGTCTGGGACGCCCTGGAGCTCTGGCAGGCGCTGAAATGTGCTGCTGCTCACAGCACTGGGCTTCCTCTGTGACAGCGGCGAGGACCCTTCCGCAGCCAGGCTGCTTCCTCTGCAAACCTGGTGTTTACAGTTTAGCCTCAAAACAATAACACGAGCACCATACCAACTCACACCTCCAACAGCTATGCAGCACAGGCTCCTGGAAAAGGATAAAACCTGCAGGACAAGGCTCCTTGTTTCACCCTATGATAAGCAGGATCACCAGCCCAGGCCCACAGCCAGGAGAGGGAGGTTTGCTGTCTGTCAGCACAGCCACCAGCGTGTGCAGAAGTCAAGTGGCCAAGTCAGAGTTTCAGCCCCACGAGGGACCCCGACCTCCTCCAGCAGGGTCCGGACGGGTGTTCTGGTTTGACACCAGAGGTGGAGGAAACCTCCCCCAGCTTCAGGACACCACAAGCCTCAGCTCCCCCTTCCTCCTTCAAGTGCCCCCTCACAGGGCACCGCAGCTGCGGGGAAGGCACCGCTCCTGCCGGCTCCACCACCTCACTGCAGAGGGGGAACAGCAGCGGCAAGGCAGGTGGGACTATTCACAGCAACAACAGCTCGGGGACCCAGACACTTCTGCCAGCTGGAGCTGGCTCAGGAGAACCTAAACCTGAGAGCAGAACATCTCAGCTGCACATTTCCCCCATCCACTCGGCTTTCTGCTGCGAGGACCAAAACCCCAGAACAGAGTATGGCAGTAAGGAAGAAGTGGTTTTGAGATGTTGGAGCTCGTATTTTATCAGGGTTGCACAAAATCAATGATGAGCCAAGTTAACATGCCCGATGCAGTGGCAGAATCCGAGCCCAATAGCGCAAGACAGATCTGCTTTAAATCTTACATGTCAACAGGGCACCCTTGACTGTTGACTTCCTACTGAATGACTCTGTAATCTGAAACCTTCATAACAGCAGCAGTGGACGAATTCCAGCATGGGAGGCAGATTATTCCCCTGTTTATGTACTGCCAGGTTTCCACACGCTTCTCCGAGGCATCGTGACAGGTTGGACAGTTGGGCACCAGAACCTGGCACTGCACGGACCTCAGTCCAGGGCCAGCATGTCACCTCCTTGCTTTTTAATGGGAAGCCCGTGCCAAACTCAGTATTCCCAACACAATCATCCTACCACCAGCCAGACATCTTTCTACCTATTTACAAATCAGATGCTTTGGATTCTAAACTTGATTTTTATTTACAGCATGCATAAAAGAGGGAAAGA